TTGGGGTTGCAGGAGAGGGGGTCCCAAGGTGCTGTACAGATGGGGAGTTCAAGGTTTGCCTCGCGGAAGGCACAGAGGTGTGGGTGACCTTGTCCATTTGAGTCTCAGCATGTAGGACGTGTGCCACATATATCTCTCCTTTCAGTGGGCTATGACTGTCCAATCTGTGGCTCAAAATGGGGGTAACCACTGGCCTCGGTGACTCCTATTCCTTGACTCCATGCCACCCTCAGAGATGCTGAGGCTGTGAGAGCCTGTCTGGTTACCTCCTGTCCCTCTGGCCACTGGTCACCACCAGCACCTCAGACTCCAGTGACAGCAGAGTTTGGCTTCCAAGTGGACGGAGGCTTCTCCACTGGGAACTAACTAGCCCCTAGCACCCTCGTGAGCTGGCTCTCTGGGCTTGGCTGGCACCATCCGATCTTCAGCAGGGCACACTGGGCATGAAGGACACCAAGGACAGACGGGTAGAAAAGGTGGGCATCTCTCGACATGGGACCATCAGGCTACCCAGCCCCTGGCCCTTCTAGTCTCTGTAGGGCACACCAGTATCCACACAAGCCACGTGGAAGGAGCTCAAAGTTCCATCGGGTGCTTCAGGTGAAGGCCAGAGTTCCCACCCCATTTGTTCCAGAAACTTCCACAGAACCCAGACAGACCCTTGAGTACCTTCTCATCACCTCAGCTTCATGATCTGTGACTGGCTCCCAGGGCTGATAAGACAGCAAGATCCCAGTGGTGATGCCTGAATTTCCCTTTAAATACCCAGCCTGCACCCACCAAGTTTCAATACACCGATTGTCTCCCAAAGGAAGTTCACACAGGATGACTTGGGCTTTTCTCGAAATAGGAGCCGGGCATCTAAGGCCCTGTCAAAAGCCGTTAGAGTTCCCAGGCATTGGATAGCCGGGGATCCATGGACTCCCAGCTAATGGTCCCGAGGCCCATAAAGCATTCCCGAATTCTTCCAGCTACTTCTTTCTACTGCCAGGTCCACCATGACCTTTGGGCCACGCCCCTGGCCTTCCCAGAGCAGGGCCTGCTGACCAACCCTTCTGGTACTGCACCCCAGTGATCTCAGGGCAGCCACGGAACTAGGCAGGCTGGCCACATCTAAAGGCCCGACCTGGTCTGTCTGACCCGGCCACTCTCACTAGGCTTCTCTGAAGGCGTCCGACCATGTGAGTGGCAATACTATTTTATTTATTTTGTGTGGAATCCACGAGAGTCAGGATTAACAAGGGTCATGGTAACCAGTCCTGACCTTGACCGGAAGGGGACTGTTAAAAAAAAAAAAAAACAAACAAAAAACAACAGAGAAACCGAATCACTCGCTGTAGACATCAGCAATGGGGATATTTCATTACTTTAAAAACAAGACACACAAAAGACTGTCTTCCTTATCCTCCAAGTGTGGAAGAAAGACAGTCACGTGACTTGACCTCTGAGAGCAGGAAGTGCTATCCTCCCACCTGGAACTGAATGCAATGTGTTTAAAGGCCTGGTGGTGGCAGGTATCTGCATGCAGCTGCTGAAGAAGCACGGAGTCCTCACGGAAGGATCTTCCCCACTGTGGGCGAGGCCGGCCACGCAAGAGCACGTGCGCATGCGCACAGACAGGCGCAGGCCAAGCCCGACGAGGTGGCTTTGTGGCTCGCTTTTCTTCACAGAAGGTGTGGGTGGCACAGAGGCTTGCCCTCTGCAGAGGACACACAGGAGGCAGTGACGTGGGAGAGGCGTGGGTCTGCTGATTCCAGACCCGGGGGAGCACTCGATGGGAGTGGACAGCCCCTCCTGGTCACCGCTGCGGAAGGCTAAGGCCAGTGGGCTCTTCCCTGAGTGGCAGGTGAGGTCCCTGGGCCATGGTTTGCCGCTCTTGTGGCAGCCTTTACATCCAAGTTCCCAGAGCAGTTACCCTGATGGAGAACCTTGCTCTCCTTTTATGGGTGAGGAAGTGGCTAGGGGAACCCTTCACTACCTGCCAGGAAAGCTCTGGAGGACACTGGCTTCTTTAGGTTTGGGGTGGTTCCTTTTAGACCAGGTTAGTGCAGGACAAAATGCATCGCGGCCTTTTAGAAACACAAGACTAAGTCCAGAGGCTGCTCTGCTCTTCAGGGACTCCAGGGATCTGGCAAGTCTAGCCTCAGGCTATCCAGCTTCCCTGTGTCCTCCTCCCTCCTCAGTGGCCCAGCTGGGTGGGCCTTGGCCTGTCATGAACCCAGGCTATATCCCTGCATAAGTTTCCCACCCTCCTGGGCAGGGTGACCTCCAGAGACCTCTGCCAGGCTCCTTCCCACTGGCTGGCCAGCCCAGGGTGTCCCTCACAACCCCAGCCTGACTACACTGGAAAGGAGCCCACACAGAGGGGAGGCCACAGGTAGACTCTTGGAACTGTGAGGGGCTGATCTCTGCCTGAATTAATTCTGTCAAACACGAAATAGACGGGTCAGGTGTGTCACCCAGTGTGGCTGCACACTCGCCTACAATGAGTGTGGGCTCCAAGTTCCGCACACTGCTTTCTCAGCACAAGAAAACACGAATGCAGGGAAGAGGTCAGAGGAACCGCTCAGGAGCTGACTCCCGATGCAGCCTACAGTTCTCCCCATTTCCTTTTGCGGTACCCTCTCCATGCCCAGAGCCATCAAAGGCACCAGCTCGGGGTGACCCTCCACTGGGCTGCTGCCCTCCTGTCAAGGGCTTCACACCACTTGTTGCAAAAACTCAGTCAAGACCAAAATCTTCCCCTCCTTAATTTAGCCTGTTTCCCTCCATGTCCCCAGCTGTTCCCGAACCACATAGCTCTGTCTGCAGAGGTGAGCCAGGCCTCCTGGCTGGCACCTGGAGGCAGAGCTGTCTGGGGAAGCAGCGTCTTCTCTGTGCCCAGTGAGGACACTGGCCCAGGCAGGAGAGCACACATCCTACTCCAACCTCTTGCTGCTGCCCCCTCCCCCAACACTGTCCCCTCCACATGGAGAGTAAGTGACCCTTTCCAAGGTAGGCATGTTTCACCAGTGTTAGTACACGCACACGTGCGCGCACGCACCCCAAAGATGTCCTTCTTTACCAGAGCCCCAATGACATTAGGGGATGTCGTCAGCACAGACATTAGCGGCAGGGCATGCGCACACAGGCGTGCTTGGTCAATAGCATTAAGTGTCATTTTAAAAAATGGGTTAAATAAGCCTTGTGGCCGAGAGACGGTGTGCGGGCTGATTACCCGTGATTTGTATGTCCTGGCGGTGGGAAGGCTAGAAGTCTAATGACTGAATTATCACCCTAATGCCTTTTGCTGGCTGGGAATAATCCTGGGGTAACAGCTGCCACAGGGTATTTGGCTGGTCTCCTCTAATTGCATCCAGATTAAGGTTGCTGTTCCGTGTGTGCAGGGCCTCTCCACTCCTCAGAGCAGAGCAGGGCTCTGTGAGCCCACACACCATGTCTGGCTGCAGAGGCCCCAGATGGTCTCACACTGCAGGTAACACGGGGGACCGATAGTCCACGGGACTGGGGGGGGGATACCTGGTACAAGGCCGTCACTGACCGTTCTGGGTCAGGTCTTGGGGAGCACTAGGATCCTTGCTCTCAGAGACTCCCTGGGCCTGCTCCCCCCCACTCCATCCCCACCTACACAGCAGAGTGCAGGAGACAGGGTGCTGTGTGATCCTGGGAGGGGGAGGGGAAGATCTGGCTCCTCCTCCCTGGGAGTGATCTGTATCTAGATTTCCTGGAGCGGTAGGCAGATGGGACCCCTCTGAATCACCAGGCCTCTGCTACGTTGATTGCTCAGAGCAGCCCCAGAGCCAAGCCGGACCACCTGCTCTGCTGCCCCTCGGGCGGTCAGCAGTGTGGTATCCACCCGCACTTAGAAAAAACACTGCTCCTTTCTGCTTCTACCGTCATGGGTGACCCGAGACCCAGAGGCCAGTGCCGCCACACACCCATACACCTTATGTACCCACTGGGACTTCAGAAATGGTGAGCCCAGAAGAGAGTGAGCAATTCTACCCAATTCTACCAGAACCACCGAGTCCAGACTGCTGACCCAATGCTCGCCCTGTGTGTCAGTCAGGTTCTAGCCGTGGAGGCTGTGTGCTATATATGAATACTGTGGTGCTGGACAGTAGATACGCCTGTACCCCAACAATCAGGACACTCTCTCCCAAAGGCTCTTCCTAGAAGGATCCACGTCCTCAGAAGTGCTCCCAGAGAAGGGGGGCTGGGAAGGGAAGCGGCCGGCTGTAAGAGGTTCTTACGTTCTGATAAGCACCTTTTAACATGGCACCGTCCTGCAGCGCCGCTCTCAGTGAGAAAAGTCAACAGCAGGGCACCTCTGCCCACCCCTGCCGCCTGCATCCCCACACGAACTCAGCCCGTGACGGAGGGATCAAGGCTCCTTCCTTGACCAGCTTTTGGGACACCAGCTAGGGATACTACAGAACACGCCATTAACCAACCTCAGTCCTCAGCTTTGGAGGACGGAGTGTGGGGGTGACCTTTTCCTTGGTAAGAGGCAGAGCATCCCAGTGCTGCTAAGCCAGCGGAGATGCCAAGGGACAGAAGCCCCCTCCCTAGCCATTTCAGGTGCCCCTGTCTTGGTGGGGGATTTAGATACTCTCACCTCCCCAGGACCAAGCATTTTCTCTTCTGACACTTGTCAACCAGCCTGTGCCTCTGGGGTAGGCATGTCCTTCCCAACACTCACATGGGCACTGTGGGAAGCTCAGGTCTGAACATCTGCTCACACGCTCTCTCTCTCTTCCCTCTTTCCCTCCCTCTCTCTGTTTTTGGGCAGGTGTCTTCAGAGGGGTCTTGCAGCTGTGACCAAGAGGCTTCAGAAATACGCTTGACTCACTCAGGACAGTCCTGCTCACCTGTGCCCCAGTGCCAATGTGAGGATGAAGCCTTTTCTGGATCCTGCTTTGTCCACAGCTCGTGGAGACTCTGGGCTCTGCTGGAGTCCTTCCTCCCCCCCCCCCCCCCCCCCCCCCCCCGACCAGCCAGCAGCCTGCAGCAGGCAGACATCCGGGGCCAGCCTTTCAGGAGCTGAATTCTCAGGGCATCTGATATTTGCTGTCACTTCTAGAGTCTGATTTTGTCGTCATGGTGACAAGGCTCTCTTCGCATTGGCCAGAGGCCTTTCCTTGTATTTCTAGATTCTGTTCCCTTCACATCCATCCCCACCCCCTCCCACTTGCCCAGGACCCCAGGGAGTTCCTCTTGCTCCTTGTCAAGAGCAGAGGCTTTCCTATCTGCGGAAACCAAAGGCCTCCCGCGGTGCCTTCGGGCCTTTCTTGCCTTCTCTTGGGGGCTTAGGTGATGGCATCTCCATTGTGCCCCCATAGGGACAGTTCTCTGAGCCCGGGTGGTGGCCGGCACACTCCACAGCTGGCATGTACCCGCTGTCCCACATGCCCGTCCCACACAGCTTACACAGGTCATGTAGGCTGCAGGGGATCCGTGGCAGAAGGCGGAACTGGTACAGGAGACTCCTGGCCTGCAGAGAGAAGAAAGGCTAAGGGGACAGCCAGGCCATCGGGATGCAAGGGAATAGTGGAAGTACATGGAACCAAGGGACACACTCATGGAGGGGACAGCACAGTGGCCTGGGTCTTCACTGGCTGCCCAAAGGGACCATGAGATACTTGGGTAGTTTAAGACACAAAATCCCCAGGTGAGGTGTGAGAGTCAGAAGGGCATGCCCCCAGCCGTCCCTGTCCTTTGCAGGACCCCTGCAACCCTGTCCCATTCCCTTCTGGACAGTAAAAGGCCCCTGCCTCACCGAGGTACTATGCACCACTGCAAGGTCAGTGCAATGATAGGCCCAAGGACCCCTTCTCTTCCCCAGGGACCACCAAAGGACTAGAACGCAAAGCATTGTCAGCTAGAGTGTGGGGAGCAGGAGGTGGGTGAGACTCAAGCCACTCAAGGTGGGTAAGAAGTGAGGCTTTCCCTCTCCTTCCTCACTTCCTAGCTCTGGACTCCTGGGTGGAGACTGGCTGGGCATGTATACATTGTTGCAGATGAAAGGGACTGTGTCCAGGGATGGCCCCCTGAGGACATGACAGCATTGCTGGGCTGAGGAGGCTGCATCAGGTGCTAGTAGTCCCCGTGGATTTGGTAGAGAAAGCCCAACAGGCAAGTGAGGGGCAGGCTGGAGCTCTGGAGGTGGGGTGGTACCCATGAGCAGGGGTGGGGCTCTGTGATGTGAGGGGCTCTATGAGCAAGCTGAGCCCATGTGCTGGGTAGGGCTCTGTGGGCAGGGGTGGTGCTGTGAGGTGTGGGTGGGGCTCTGTGTGTGTAGCTGGGTCCTTTAGGTATGGGGCAGGGCTTCCCATGTCAGGGTGGGTCTGTGAGGTATGGGTGGGGCTGTGAGGTGTGGGCAGGGTTCTGTATGCAGGGCTGGGCCCTTTAGGTATGGGCAGGGCTTCCCATGTCAGGGTGGGTCTGTGAGGTGTGGGTGGGGCTCCGTGGGCAGGGGTGGGTCTGTACAGCATGTGGCCTGCTTCTGTCCGGGGCAGACCTGACGGGTCAGGCCAGTGCGGTGCCCACCTTCCTGAGCACCAGCTCTCCGTTCATGTGCATGGCCAGGTTCCCAAAGTGCAGGAGCATCTGGTCTGTGGCCAGCTGTTGCTCGATGACGTCATCCCCATAGATGGCCACGATGGCCACACAGATGAACAGGTGGAAGTAGTCCGTCTGTGGGGAGACAGAGAGCTCAGAGGGGCCCTACCAAATCTGAACCCGAGCTCAGCCCTGACTGTGGCCGAGGCTATCTGGGAAGCCTGCACCTCTGGTTCACCCTCCAGTTCCCCACCTGAAGACAGGGCCAGCGGTGACGGCTACACGCTGGGCCGCTGTGACAAACCGATGGATGATAACTGTGCCCCACCCTGGCCGTTGGTGCTCTCTTGGGAGGTGTCTGTGATGAGGGAAGAGAACACACACTTTCCTCCCTAGCCTGTCAGAACTCACGGCAGGACCTCATGCAGAGGTCTTGAGGGTGTCACGTGTGTGCGAAGGGCTGATCAGACTGCTTCCTCAAGACTCTAGAAGTTCTGGCGGCTGACTCCCTGGTGGTGAGTCCTCCTGCATCAGCCAAGTGTCCTTAGCATACGCCCCTGTCTATGGCTGGTGGCTGAGCATCTAGGAAGATCCCTCCTAAGTCACTCCCTCGAGGCCCCATGGAAGGCTGCCGCTACCATCTTGCTGCCCCTAACGAGATGCCCACAGCCCCTCCCTGCCTCCTGTAAGGCCACTTTGTGGACACACGAAGGTAGAAGGACGGGGGTTCTAGATAGTCCCTGTTGAATATTTTGATAACACCATGTGGGCTGCCATCTCCCAACCAGACCAGCAGTGTGCAGAGGCACACTGAAGTCCCCATCCTTGGCCTGCCTGCGTTCTTATTCCGAAGGAATGGGAGGAGGGGAGAATGAGATACATTCTACGGGGATTGGCCTAGAGCGCAAGTCCCAGCTCCTGGGGCATCAAGCCACGGCACAGGGGCCTGCATGACGCCTTTCCTTTGGAAGCTTAGCCCTCACCTGGCAGTGACTCCCCGTCTAGTGCTCACTCCTGGTTCGTTCATCATCTGGAAGGGTTTCATACTCAGCTGATGGGGAAAGGAGGATGTTCCAGAAGGGACCACTAATTCCAAAATCTTATGGCAACATGAACTTGCTTTGTGGGTCTTGAACATGGCAGTGGCCAGCGGGCTGCCAACAACCTCAGAGAGCAGCTGGGTTACTTCCCCCTGACTCAGCCTCCCCGGCCACTCTGGATGTCTGTCTGGAATAGTCTTTAGGATGCATTGGCAGTGGATGCTGCAGGTGGCAGAGGGAGAGCGACTTTGGAGCGTGCTCTCCACAGCCGGGGTCAGGGCTGGAGGACAGAGCTGTGCCCGGAGCACACGGATGGAGCTGCTTTTGGTTTGTGCAAGCACTCGTGTGCATGTACATATGTGCGCCCACGTGAGGCCAGAAGATGGTATCTAGGGCTCTCTCGCTGGGACCTGGAGCTCAGCAATTAGGCTGAACTGACTGGCTAGCCAGCCCAGGAATCTGCCTGTCTCTGCTCCCCCAGCACGGGGCGGGAGGGTTATAGGTATGCACCACACAGCTGGTTTTTGTTTGTTTTGGTTTTCTGTTGGTTGTTGTGTTTTGTTTGTTTTGAGACAGTTCACACTGTGTAGTCTTGATATTCCTGGAACTCACAAAAATCTGTCTGCTTCTGCCTCCAGAATGCTGGGATTAAAAGTGTATATACCACCATGTCTGGCATGCCTGGCTTTAAAAAAAAAAAAAAAAGAGTTCAGGGACTCCAGTGTGGATTCACGATCTTGCAAGGTAAGCACTCTACCCACTGAGTAATCTCTCCAAACTGGAGTATTATTATTTTTAAGGCTGATGGAGTCAAAATGGCTTGCTGACTTCCTTACATTGATGGCTTGGGTGTAGTTGAGGGTGTAGAGTCAGCCCTGTGGGGGAGGAGAAACTGCTCGTGTGGAATACGAGTGGAGGCCCTGATCCAGGTTCTCTCTGGAGCCGTGGAAAGGCAGCTCAGGGTGGCCCGGCAGTCCTGGGGGGCCGGGCAGCATAGCCCTGTCCACAGCATGTGGGGACATACATCCTGGGCTGCTGTGACTGTCCTGTGGAGTGGATATCCCTCCCACTGACGGGCTGTGACAGAGGCAGTGAGGAGCATGTCAGCCAGCAATTTACACTGATTTCAACTACATGGGAGGGGAGGTCTGAAGCCGGCGGCACAGGCGGCTGGATGGGGTGAGGAGGTTTGGGGTGCCCACCGCCTAAGCACAGGATGACGACTCCGCTCACCTGGTAGTGGGCCCAGCAGGCCTCCCAGATGCGCAGGGCCTCGGCCTCAGGAAACTCCCGTTTGAAGCAGAGCAGGAGCCAGCGATGGCAGAACAGCATCTGGAGGCCGTCCTCGCCCAGCGACACCAGGTGCTGGTAGAAGCGCTGGTGTGTCAGCCGCAGCAGCTCCCGCAGGTACAGCTGGGGGTGGCAGGGGGGAGGAGGGTGTTAGCCAGACCCCGGGAAAACCTGCCCACCAGGGCCAGAAAGACCTTACTCAGGGCATCTTCAAGCCCAAAAGCACACACAGGAAGAAAGTCTTTCTGTCTGCCAAACACATCAGCCAGCTACTATGTCAGACTACACTGGAGCCCCCCCACAAGCCCCCCTTCTCTCTCTCTCCCCCCTCTCTTGTGTGTGTGTATGTGTGTGTGTGTGTGTGTATAAGTGTGTGTGTGTGTACCCAGAGGTTGACATTGGGTATCTTCTAACAGTCTACCTTATTTTATTTTTTTAAAAAGATTTATTATTAAACAAATCGCACATATTTATTTTATGTGTATGAGCGATCTGCCTGCACGTATGTCTGTGCAGCACACTGATGTCTGGTGTTCACGGAGGCCAGAAGAGAGAATTGGATCCCCAGGAACTGGAGTTACAGATGGTTCCTAGCAATCGTATGGGTGCTGGGATCAAATCCAGGTCCCCTGCAAGAGCGGGCAGTGCTCTTAACCACTGAGCTATCTCTCCAGCCCTTATTTTATTATTGTTAATCATGCGTGGAGAGATGGGCCTGTGTACATGACTTCAGGTAGCCAAGGAGGCCAGAGTTAGTGATCTCTGGAACTGGAGTTACAGGCAAGCGTGAGCTGACGGACTCAGGTGCTGGGGATTAAACTCAGGTCCTCTGCAAGAGCAGCGCGGTGCATCCTCTAACCCTCTCAGCTGTCTTTCCAGCTCGAGTCCACCTTTTTCGGACAGAGTCTCTTGCTGAACCTAAAGCTCGCCAATGAGCTGGACAGGTTGGGCAGGGATCCACCTGTCTGTGAACTTCCCTGGGACACACCCAGCATTTTCCCCGGGTTCTGGGGTGGGGGGGACTCATGTCCTCAGGCTTGTACAACAGGCACTCTGCTGAGTCATCTCCCAGCCCCAGCCGCTGGAATCTCGCTCACACCTGTCTACTCGTGCCTCTTAGATCGAAAGATATCCCAAGAGACCAGGGTATAGCCCTCGGCATAGTATGACCTCCTGGGTGGCCAAGGAGACTGACTGACTCAGCGTGAAGTCATCCTTCAGCCTCGGTCGACCCCCAGGGGCTGTTCCTACTGGATGCCTAACCAAGCAGGGCAAGCAGGGTTATTCATGAAACCCCAGCAACAGCCCCTTCTGTCCCACCACGATCCAGCGACTCCCAGAGCTGACAGCAGTTTCAAGACGCTGTCTGAATTTCAAAATTCTGGATTCCTGTGTGTCAGGTCACCGGGTCGCCTGGGACTTGACAGAGGCTATTTCTGGCAGCACCAGGTGGGGGCTGCCGACTGCTGACGCCACCAGGAAACCAATCTCCAGCAGCTAATGAGTCACTGGCGTGTGCCGCCAGGCTGCTAGGGTGATGGCGTCAGACCCTGTAATTGCCTCCCTGGGTACCGTGGAAACCTGACATCACAGGGACGCGTGATGAGGCCGGGGCCGAGGGTCTGGTTAGGGGTCAGTTGTCTGCTGCTGAGTGGGATCAGAGGCTCCGGAGGATAGTGGGGCCTCAGGACTCCTTACCACTCCTAAGCAAGCACACTGCTATCCCTACGGGCCAGGGTCTCCACTCGGTGGCTCACAGAAGGCCGAGGCCGCCATGTGGCTGACAGTTCTCTAATGAACATCCAGCGTGCACAACTGTGCACAACTGCCGAGTGCCCTGTACCTTCTGCCGCTGGCTGTTCCTCACTCACACCTTTGCTCACACAACCCTCTAGTCCCCAGGTTGATCTATGGGCCATGCTTCCTGCCCTCCTCAGTTCTGCTATCACTTGCTGAGGCATATGTCATCCAGCCAGAGGCCACTGAGCACGGTTACCCCAAACCCTCTGTGCAGCTGAGTCTCCAACACTTGAGACCGTAGGGAATAGAGACAGCCATGGGAGGGGCACCTGCGACTCCTGTCCTCAGAGATCAATGCCCTGGGCTCCTGCGCTCACTCTGTCAGCTTGTCTACTTCCAAACCAGGCCATGTGCGGGATGGAGGGCAGGCCACCCAAATCCTGGCAGGAGCTTGTTACAAACACAGGTGCCTCTCAGTGACAATATCCAGGCCCCAGGCACTCGGTGCTTCTCAGTTTATGTACAGCTGATCTCTCAGGACACGGGGGTGGGACATGGGATCAGAGTCAGCTGAGCCCCACAAAAGGTCAGCTTTTTTTTTGTGGGGGTGGGGAAGATGTGAGACTTGCCTGCTGGACATCTGGGTCTGTTCCCACTGCATACAGCTGCCCTGGCGGTCTGTAATGGGCCCTGCTAGTGACACACACCTGAGCCAAGTAGCATGGACTTCCCTCTCTTTGCCCTACCCAGGAGGCTGGATTGTGATAGCCCTGCAGGGAGGCAGAAGGCCAGCAGGGTAGGGTCTTAAACAGTCAGTCTTTGGGGTTTGAGGAAGAGAGGGTTAAGAGGCTGGCCCAGACCCAAACACATATCTCCTGGAGGTGGCCAAGGGCTCTTCCCAGGAGACTCTGGTTTCTGCCACCTACTGACTCCTGGTGTCGTGGCTGCATTTCCTCAAGACCCCTGGCAGCAGCTGAGCAGTGGTGGTGCACACCTTTAATCCAGCACCCAGGAAGCAGAGGCAGGCGGATCTCTGAGTTCAAGGCCAGCCTGGTCTACAGAGTGAGTTCCAGGACAGCCGTGGCTACACACAGAAAAACCCTGTCTCAAAAAAATAAAACCAAATGAAACAAGGCAGTGTGCTGTCTCTTTGAACCCTCTGATACACAGACAGACATGCATATACACATACAGATGTAAGCACACATATACAAGGCACAAATATATACACGCCCACACAGCACACAGTGGTACATGCACACACACACACACACACACACACACACACACAAGCACGCCTCACCAGCTGTCTCTCCATGTCCTCATCACGGGGAGAACTAACGAAGATGGTATTCTGCATCAAACCCACGAAGCACCAGAAAGTGTCCGATTCATCCAAGACCTCAGCCAGGATGGGGGCCACCAGGTCTGACATGCCCTGTGAGTAGCCGATGGCTGGATTGTACACAGCATAGTTCAGCAGGATCCTCCTGGTGGGGCAGTGGGGAGTGAGCTGACCCATCCCATCTCTGTAGTCCCCATCAGGGCCTGTCGCGCAGCTGCTGGGGCCCTGAGTTTCAGGACAGCCAGAGCTGCATAGAGAAACCCTGCCTCAAAAAAACAAAAAATAAAGTCTGGGCTCTGATGGAAGTCAGTGGGACTCATTTTTCAAGTGGTAACAGCATTTGCTAGAGCCCAGAGCAGGGGCTGGGCAGGAATGTGGGTCCTACTTTCTTAACGTTGGTTCACTGTGACACAAAGGGTGGGCTGGCTAGGTCGTTTTTATGGGCGATTAATTTTGTGCAGTTACTTGCCAGGCTGCAGCAGAATATCAAGATGGCAGCCTCGGACTCAGTATGGCGTTCTAGAGTAGGCATCGTGAGGGGATGCAAGTACACATGGCAGCGTGGGGAATGTCCTTCGGGGGCAGGGGCCAAGCCAGGAGAGGGTTGCGGGGACTCAGTGGCTGCTACAGGGGTCAGGAGCTAAAGTAACCCGTGGGTCCCCTGCTCAGGTGGAGAGCTGTGCTGCACAGCAGCCAGGGAGTCCCACAAGGTCGGTCATAGACTTGCACACGGGGAGGCCAGAGACACCAGGTACCTCATGCTCTCCACATTCGGGTTGTCCTCCCCTCGGAAGAACTGGTTGTTCCTATCTGTCCGAACCACATCCTTGTCCACGGTGAACTGCACACTGCGCCAAAAGGCTCTCTGCTCCTCAGGAGTCATGGAGAGCCTGTGGGGAAGACAGACACCATCCTGAGGTCAGCTGTGGCAGGGGGATGCCCGGGAGTACCCAGGGAGGAAATAGTCCAGCAGACCCCGGGGACCTGGAGTAGCTGCCCTCCAGGATATAGAGGCCTGGGCTCTGCTAGCTCCACCTCTGCTGCTAGGGCTATGGGCACCAACAGAAGGGTGTGTGTGCACACGCGTGCGCATGTGTGTGCGCTGTCAGCACCAACCCTCCAGCTCCCAACGCTGTGTGTGTGTGTGTGTGTGTGTGTGTGTGCTGTCACCACCAATCCTCCAGCTCCCAAGAGGACGTGTGTGTGTGTGTGTGTGTGTGTGTGTGTGTGCGTGCGCGCGCGCACGCGCCTGTGTGTGGTGTATTCAAAGCTTTCCTCATGTTAATTCAAGTCCAGCCCTGCAGAGGAGAGCTGACTGGAGCGTGTAGGTAGTGAAACCTTTGTGGGAGGCAGCCTTCAGTCCTGAAGTCAGGTTCCCAGCCCAGTCTGCTGCTGGTGAATCCTGGCCCTTGGACCAAGGCGCTGGGGATATGGTGTAGCAACTGCCCCTAGACTGCCAATGGTGCTGGCTCTCGGGAGACTCACGCTCCAAAGAAACCATGGTTCATGGGCTATCGGTCGGTGATGAATTACACCTCTGAATTCCCCGCTGTGGTTAGATGGGACTCCTGGGGCACACTGCACCTTTTTTGCTGGATCGCTGCGTATTCCTTTCGCTTCTGCTCCCGCAGCGCCTCGCGCTCCTCCGACGTGGACTCGTGGCTATAGTAGTGCAGTAGGAAAGGCCAGACCTCCCCCCGGATCGACACATCAATGCCGCCAAAGAAAATGGCCTGGAGGAAGCAGCACAAGTTGAGGGGGTGGGTGGGGGGATAGAGTATAAAACAGGGCAGCTCAAAGAACCCCAAATCCCCAGAGAAGGGTGTCGTGGGGCCTTTGGCGCGCCTCGATTCAGACCCAGGCAATTTGCACATGTTTACAAGGGGAAAGTGTTGGAGAGGCATTCCCATACAGGATACAAACCGGCTCATTTCAATGTCAAAGCCCCCCCGGGGTGGCACTCTGAGATCGATGTGTCATTCTCACGTCGTGGACTAATCCTGGGGGCTTTAATACTTCAGAGTCTGCAGGGCCCACATGGGATCCCCAATCTTGCGCAATTGTCTCCTCAGTGAAGCCGCCTGACCACTCCATCAATGCAGCGAACAGGACCCTCCAGAGGCTGTGGCCCACCACCCACCCTCTGTCCCCGCGGCTTGACTACAAGGGTTCCCCGGAGGCTGACCAGGTGGCCGCCGCCGTACCTGGCGTAGCTTGTATTCCTCCTCTACCTGGCCCAGATCGTTCAGGTGGTTGAGCCAGGCAGACACGTCCAGCCTCCGGTACAGACTCTCTTCCGGGTGGGTCTCAGAGGATGGCAGCTTGGGCCTTCGGATAGAAAACTGCATGCAAGTCCTCTCATCTGTGACCTGCTGGATGGGTGGGAGGAGCCCCGGGTGGAGAGCAGGATCTCAGATCTTGGGCTTTGGGAGCCTGAGATGCTTTTCCCAGGATGTCAAAGCCACTCTCTCCTCTGGGAGGAGGGGAGGCGCTGTCCCTGCTCACAAACTCCTAAATGGCAAGTGTAATTAGACACAATTAAAATTAAAATACCTTCATCCTAACACCACTCTCCCTCTGCAGCTCACAGCCTCCACCGCCCCCACTCCCTCTCCTGCCCCGGCCGCAAAGAAAACCAGAATTAATACCCCTTACGGCCCAACTTCCCTCTGCCAGGGAGAGCCTGCAATAGATTCCATTCGATCGGCCACATACAAAGGCCCGCTGTTCGGTGAGCGGGGGAGCCAGCCTGTCAGACTGTCTCCATGCGCAGTCACGAGTCCAGGGCGAAACCACAGCTGACATTTAATTCAAAAATCAAAGGTTGCTCGATGCAGAGAGGGGCCCATACCTCTATTGTAATAATGGGAGCTGGCGGGAGGCTCTGCGGGTAGGGCTGTAAAGTCAGCCCCCGGCTCTAATAAGCACATGCAGTACCTTAAGCAGGTGATTAAAGGGCTCTTATTGCCTCTGTATGCAGATTGAGCAAAATACGGCAAGAAGCCTTGTCAAAACATGAGTCTTCAAGGGCTCAGAATGACTTTCAGAAAGGCCTGGGCACACGTTTCAACCCCAAGCACATTGCTGGCTGACGCCGCAAACCAGACAGCCAAATGCCATCGTCCAGAGGGGATCCCAAGAGCCAGACCGGTGAGGAAGGTGTCCCGGGATGGTCCCAGACCCATGGGTTTGGGAGCTGGTATTCTGGGAGAGGCATTTCCACCCCTGGCCCTAACCATCCATGTCCACCCCACTCTCCGCTAGGTTACCTGGTCCCTGAGGTGCGTCTCTGTGCAGAACTTCCATTGCTGGAACACCTCGGAGAGCTTGTCCAGGCCGCCGTGGTGGAAGTGAAAAATCTTGTACTGGCTCTCCCGGCTGGCCACCACCAGCTGGCCACTTGTGCAAGCCTCATCACTAAAGGGTCACAGAGTGGGGGAGGGGTGGAGGCGTTCACGCAGGTTCTGAGGTCTGAGTTTAACCAGAGCACGCTGTCAGCCACCTCAGGCAGGAAATAGTGAGCCCCATGGGAGTCTGGCTGCTTGTGTGAGGAGCGGTGTCAACCAAGCTCAGTACTCCCTCTACCCAGGAAGCAAAGGCAGCTGGATCCAGAGAACCCTGCACACCATTCCTGAGCCACCCAGGAGACCTGGAGGAGTGCGGAGGGCTGGCTGGAGGCAGATCTGGACCACGCAGGGATTTGCTCAACCTCCTCTACCCTCATATCTGAATCATAAGGGGTCCAGGGAAGGGGGCTTCCCAAAATCTCCCTCCAGGCTGTCACCAGACCCGATCACCTCAGCACCACAGGGAATCCTACAGGGACTTTTGATAGGGTGCTGACTTGGACTGATGTGGAAAAACCTGACAGCAGAAGGCAGCGACTGGGGTCTATGAAGGAAAGGCCCCCTTTCTCTAGAGGCCAACTATGCAAATGACCCATGGTGCCCCCAAGGCACAAAACCCTGCACCGCTCATCAGCAAGTACCCACCTGGTGTGGGTTTTCTTTCCTGAGCAGGATGTTGGGGACAGAACGGGATGACCTCAAGTGGGATTACCACTTGTGACAGTGGATCAGGGAGGCAGCGGCATCGACTAGACCAGCTGCAGCCCCTCGATGTCTGCGAGACTGGAAATGCACATGGCTGGATGTGCCTCCCCACACATCTGTACACGCATATACACACAGGCTCACATGCTTGCGCACACTCGTATACACACCGCCAGGAAGCAGACTCACCTGAAGAAGAGTCTCAGGGAACGCATGTGGCCCAGGTCCACACGGAACACACCGTAGATCTGCTCCAGGGCGCATCCCCGCTGTGGCTCATCCCAGCGAGGTGTCTGCAGGAGGCCGTTGCTGTCGGGGAACCGCAGGTTGGCATCCGAGCTAGAGGGGGAGCTGGCAGAGCAGGTGGTGTGAGGACCTTGCATCTCTCTGCGATGCCAGCCCAGGGGAAGGATGGGGAGGGGGACACGCAACATTCACCCTGAGCTTAAACACATGGCATACGACGGAACATGCTTTGCCGGAAGCTGCACCCCAGATGCTAGGGAACGAACAAGTGAGGGAGTTGGGTCCGTTACTCTTTGGCCAGTGATAGTTTGGTTTGACTAGAAAAACATCTTTTTCATGAGCAGATGCCGAGGTACCTTGATACGGGCAGGAAGTTGCCAGAACGGCAGATAGCACTAGATAGAGCTCACACCTCCGGAGTGAACAGAGGCGTGTTACCAAGCCTCCCCGAGCCTCTACATCTTATTTATAATGTGACGATAGCAAGGATATGTGTGGAATAAGCAACTGTAAAGTGCTTGGTCCCCTGGGGCCTGTGAAGGGCCGCTGCTCCGTCACAGTCTTAGACAGTACGGGGCTTCTACCCAGGTTTAGAGTTCTTGTTTCTGAAAAGTCATGCTTATATGAGGAAACACATGGGCCACTAACATTAACTATAGGCCTTGGGTAATGACATGAGGACAAGGCTTGACCGCTTCCCACATGCCGGGAGGGGAGGTGTGGGGGGGGAGCGTGCATGGGCATCAGAGCCTGTGTCAGGGCCAGAGTCGACATCAGGGATCTTCCTCCGCCTCTCAGGGTCTCTGAGACCCTGGAGCTCGCTGATTGGCCAGACTAGCTGCCCAGCACAGGTCCCAGGGTTCCTCTTGTCTCCGTTTTCTCAGGTGCTGAGATTACAAGGGTTTGTCGCCAGGCCTGGCTTTATAAAGAAAGTGTAAGTGCAAGGGATCAAACTCGGGTCCCTGTGCTCGCACAGCAGGCTCTTCGCCCGCCGAGCCCCCTCCCTGGCCCTCAGGTTTTCGTTTTTGTTTTTCTTGTTTTTTTTTTTTTTTTTTTTTTTTTTTTTGAGACAGTGTTTCTTTGTATAGCCCTGACTGTCCTGTAACTCGCTCTGTAGACCAGGTCGGCCTTGAACTCAGAGATCTGCCTGCCTCTGCCTCCTGAGTGCTAGGATTAAAGGCGTGTGCCATCATCGCCCGGTCCTCACGTGTTTTTATAGCACGTAATCTTATTGCATGAGTAGTGGGATTACCCACTCTTCAGAAAAGGAAACTGAGGACCAGAGGGGGCCACACAGCCAGTGAGTAGCAAAGCTAAGACTGGATGGAACCTGAGCTCTATCCTCCCTGAGCGTGTAGTATGGCTATGCCACCTGCCATTCTCTCTCTCTTTTTTTAATTCATGAATTATTTACATTTTCTTTTGCAAAATATTTTATTATAGTTTTAGGCATCGCTGGTTAAATCCTGGTGTGTAGATCTAGCAGTAAGTTCTTCAAACAATAACGCAGGTATACCCTGAGCAAAGGCAGGCAGGAATGGGTTTGTGGTCTTATACTGACTCAGCGCAGTCAGTAGCTGCTCTCCGCTAGAGCAGAAGATCCGGTGTAAACCACCCAGTGAACAGATTCCTGGGAAGCCTGGGTCCAGCCCCTCCTTTCTCAGCATCAAGGAGAAAACAGGGCCATTCAAACCCTTCACAGTCCCCAGAACGTCAGGCCAGTTATAATATGGCTCTCCTTCCCGACCTACGTCAGGAAGTCAGGCCAGCAGGGTCCTCCCACGGCCCAGGATGCACCCCAGTCTTCCTGAGTGGACCCTGAATGGACCCTGCCGCTGCACTCTGTAAAGTGTTCTGCCAAAAGCTGCTTCCTACCATCCCTCGCATGGTACTGCTAGGCTGTGTGCGAAGAGGCTGGGGTCTCTATACATCCTGTCGTAGTACCATCCTCCAACACCTTCCTAATCTCCCAGAACCCCACAAAGCAGGCAGCAAGACACCGAGTCAGGGTGCGGCAGAAGGCCCCTGCTGGTCCCTGGGAGTTGGGAGCGGGGCTGGAGTAACGTGTTTCTGAAAAACAATGGTTATATGAGCAGGCTTCCTGCTGTGATGTCAACATGGTGACATTCAGGAAAAGGAGAGCTACGCAGACATTAAAAGATCAATGGTTGCCAGGGACTGGAGGAGAGGAGATACGGACGGGGGAGCACAAGACAATACAATCCTCTCTACGACACCACAAGGTTATTACCTGTTTGCCCAAACCCAGAGAACATGCAAGAGCAAGACAATGCCTTGTGCAAACTGTGGGCTTCTGGGTGATAAGGGTCCATTAGTGTAGGTCCATCCACTGTCTTGTGGCTGATGCTGACACTGGGGTGGTTGGGTCCTCATGGGAGCAAGGACACACACACACACACACACACACACACACACACACACACAGGTGATTTCTGCAGTGAGCCTAAAACTATCAAGCCAGGTGTCACGGTGCAAGTCCATCATCCCCGCACTCCAGAAATGGAGGAATAAGGATCAGAAGTCTAAGCCAGCATGAGTGAGCTGTGCAGTGAGACTGAGGCTAACCTAGGCTTCCTGATGACAATAATAACCAAAATGAGCTGTCCACATACAAGTTATAGAAATGAATACTACATGGGAGATTGTCGAGAGGAAGGAATACACAAGAAACATTATGTTCACATCTAGAGTAATAAAATTAATTCAAGTGCAAAAGAGACTGTTCTGGGGTGGGTCTTAAATTGGTAATAGTTCAAAGATTATAAACTCTTAGCTAGAAGCAGAGAGGTGACTCAGCAGGTAAGTACAAATCATGTTCCTGCAGCAGAACCAGGTTCAGTTCCCAGCGTCCACATCAGGCAGCTCACAACTTGTCCAGCCTTCTCCTCTGGCCCCTGTGGGCACCTGTTCTCTCTCTCCCGATCTATCTATCTATCTATCTATCTATCTATCTATCTATCTATCTATGTGTAGTCTTAGCTATTCATAATATTAATATGTATATCTTTGTGGGAATAAAAAACAAATATTGGAAATCTAAGCCAGGAGGGGTGGCATATACCTGGACTTCCAGAACTTGAGAGGCAAAGGCAACAGGATCAGAAGTTCAAGTCGTTCTTGGCTACAAAGTAAATTGAGGTCTCAGTGGGCTACCCGAGAACCTGTCTCATAAACAAATCAAACAGGCAAACAAATGTGTGTGTGTGTGTGTGTGTGTGTGTGTGTGTATACACATATATACCAAGCCCCAGGGTTCTCAGGAACACTTTGGCACAGCTCAGAGGAATGCAGGAGACTGGCCTAACGCTTCTGATTGGCTTAACATACCTGTATGTTTTCAACTTTTTATTTCCTCTCTAGCAATTAGTTCGAGAATAAGCCACAAAACCACATGCATGAATAGACATGGAACAGCCTATTGGCAAAACTGACGAAACCCTACCAACTAGGAACGGAAAGGAACTTCCTCAGGAGAGGAAGGACGCTGTGTACTATAGTAACATCAGACTTAGTGGAGAAGGACGGAACTGTTCCCCTTAGAAAGTGGGGGTTAAGGCTGACGAGACGGCTCAGTGGTTAAGAACACTTGTTGCTCCTGCAAAGGACGGTCCCCAGTCCCTACATGACAGTTCACAACCATCTGTAACTCCAGTTCTGTGGGACCCAACATCTTCTTCTGACCCCCTAGGGCACCAGACATGCACACGATACACAGACATACATGTTGGCAAAACACTCATATGCATAAACTAAACAAGTATAAAAGTAAAACAATAAAAATTAAAACAAGCCAGGAGCTAGGTAACGATTCTGGCTTCCACGGGTATCCTGTATCCCCGTGTCCACCTCACCTCCGCATAAGACAGGAAGAGGGAGGGGGAGCCACAAAGACTGGCGTTGGGGGGGAAGAGCGCAATGGTCCCCGCTGGTAGAGGATGTGACTGTTTATATGACGCGTCTCCAGGGAATTGTAAAACAACTCTTAGAGCCAGCGAGTGCACTGAGCGCGTTTATAGGCTGGATGGTTAATAGAGAAAACCGGACTGCCTCCTTGGGCCATCGAGGCATGACTGGAAAATGAAACAACACGTTTAACTTATACCACAAATAAAGCCCTGGCGGGGGGAGATGGCTCAGTGGACAAAGCTTTGCTATGGAGGTTTTGTGATCAGAGTTTGGGCCCCCAGAACCCACAGAAAACCCTGCATCATCCCCGCGCTGGGGAAGTGGAGAAGGGATTCCTGGCTGGCTAGCCAAGCAGACTCAGGGATCAATGGTTGGGTGAGAGACCCTGTCGCAGTAAATAAGGAGGATGGCAATCAAGGAAGACACCAGATGTCAACCTCTGTGTGCATCCACAAAACAGTCCAGAGACCATTTGGGGTCGGTGATGAAGGCTGGGCCACTGATACACAGCCAGCACAACACACCAAGAAACTATTTCGCTGAGCAAAATAAGCCAGACTCAAACAGAGTACACACGTGTGTGATGCCATCTGCATACAAATGTACCCAAACAACTAACCCCAAAGTGAGAGAAATGGCAGTGTATGTGTGTGTGTGCGCGCGCGCATGCCTTACCAAGAATTGGACCCACATCCTTAGACAAGCACTCTGTTACAGAGCTATACCCCAGTCCTCTTTTCATTCTTTCCTCTGAGACAGGCTCTTACTGAGTTTCCCTGGCCCTTTTGATGCTTCCGTCTTCCCGAGTCAGCCTCCTGAGTAGTTGGGACCACAGGTCTCTTAGTACAGACCTGACTTCCAACTTTGTTATTGCTGTTGTATGAAAATATCAAAGTTTCCTGTCATAACATTATTTAGATTTGTTTGTTTTACTTTATGTGTAGGATCATTTGCCTGTATGTGTATCTGCATACCACATGCATGTCTGGTACCTGAAGAGGCCAAAAGAGGACATTGGATCTCCAAGAACTGGAATTACTGCCAGCTGTGAGCTGCCATGTGGGTGCTGGGAATTGAACCCAGGACCTCTAGAAGTGCAGCCAGTGCTCTTAACCACTGAGCCATCTCTCCAGCCCCCTCCATAAGCATTTTTAGAGCAGGGTTCAGTGGTGCTAAAT